GGACACGGACCTGTTGGAACAGGTCCAACAGACGGCCATGAAAATTATCAGAGGCTGGAGCACCTCTCCTATGAAGACAGGCTAAGAGAGCTGGGGTTGTTCAGCCTGGAAAAGAGAAGGCTTTTAAGGGCTTTCCAGTACCTGAAGGGGGCTCCAGGAGAGATGGGGAGGGACTCTTGATCAGGGAGTAGAGTGATAGGGTGAGGGGGAATGGTCTTAAATCGAAACAGTGGCGATTTACGTTAGATTTGAGAAAGAGCTTCTTTCCTGTGAGGGTGGTGAGAGCCTGGCCCAGGTTGCCCAGAGAAGCTGTGACTGCCCCATCCCTGGAGGGGTTCAAGGCCAGGCTGGATGGGGCTTTGAGCAACCTGGTCTGGTGGGAGGTGTCCCTGCCCAGGGCAGGGGGGTTGTAACTCGATGACCTTTATGGTCCCTTCCAACCCAATCCACCCTATGATTCTATAAGAAGGCAGTTGTGGGGTCCCTATTGCTAAATGACAGTAAAAACCCCTTAGGTGCTGGCCCAGGCTCACCAAGGCAGGGACACTCCATGCTGTTCCAGGTCTGGCCCACATGAAGCTCATACAGTGCTGATGTGCCTGTCACTGCTCCCACGGATGGGCAGGTATTTGCACCCATGTGGGTACAGACCACTTGGAGGAGGTGAGCCCAGAAGCTCCTAGAGCCCCAGAGGTCTATAGGGCAGTTGGGTACTATGCAAAACTAGCTGGGCACCAGGGACTTACCTTTCAATCACAGACAGAGAGAAACAGCATCTCACAGGCATTCCTAAGAGCTATGGAAACTGTCAACCCTCTCTATTCCAACCCTCACCCCCTCCAGTTTCACGCACTTTAAAACAGCTGCTTTAAAATACTGAGTTCAAAGCACAGTAAATTAAGCTCCACATAAAGTCCATTCAGCTTTTTGTTTAATTTGATAAAAGCTCATCAGACCATTCGAGTTACCTTCTGGTCAATACCGCCTCAAGAAATCTGCAATTCAGCTACCTGTGGTTTTTCCAATATTTCTGTAAAACATTACTGACAGGCTCCGTTGGTCTGCACGCACCAGGTCTTTGCTAAACACTATTTCAGGGCCACCCAAAGTACTTTTTATATTATTGTGATCTTTTTTCTCTCTCTCTCTCAAAATCTTCATCTTGTGTGACTTTTCTTTGCTCTCACTCTAACCCCCTGGGATTACCATCATTTTTATACAGCATTTCTCCTCTCTTTTAACCTGATGACATACTATGCCCTCTTCCATTTTCATTTCTCTCCAAGAAAAAGGATTGGTCTCAATAAGAATGGCCTAGCTCTTGACTTGCTGGCTAGGAGGTTTAGCTTTGGGCTAGAAAGTTACTACTAAGCAAGATATTTTCATGTCTATTGACACAGAACAATAAATTCACTTACTGTAGCCTCTTGCATCACAGATGATCCCAAAGCACCCTACAAACAGTGTACTGGGTCCCTCATTCACCATCAAAACATACTTGCCGCTAACTGTGCCAGCAACACTACATAAAAGTTAGTTAAGAGGTGAAAAAGAGAGCAATTTCTCCAAGTGAAATTACAAGGAAATTAAGGGAGGTAGAGTATATTACTTCATGGTGAAGTTGGCCACGAGACCGAACAGCACACCTTTTTAATGGCCAAAAAGGGGGCAGGGTCCCTGTTCAAGATAGAATCAGGCAAGGCTGCTCCTCAGGTTCCTGCTGAGCACGATGTGGTATCAGCTGTAGGAAGCCTCCCGGCACCACAGCCACCTCTCCTCCTCCATCCTTCTCATCCAAGCATGAGCAAGAAAAAGCAATGCCCAGCCTAAGAGCTTTGACAAGATCCCAACACGCTGGTGACAACAGAAAAAATACACAGAAGATTTCATTTTAAGACATCTTCGATGTTTCTTATTTAAATAAGTCATCACCCAGGGAGAGAAAAAGAAAAAAGCCCGTGAAACTGATCATTTCAAGAATGCACAGGATCAGCCTCCCCATCCACCTGCCCTCTCGCCGAGTATTGACCTTGCCAGCAAAGCAGCAGCCTCAAAGATTTCAGATTTTCTACCACATAATTACAAATTATGACATTCAGCAAAGGGAAAAAAGATAATTTTTATATATAGTGATCATGTGAAGCTGAACAGTATATAAATCCAGCCCTGTTACATCAATAAGGGTGAGTCCACCCTATTGCCCTAATGGTACCTTAAAGTTTTCAGAGCATGTGTGCAGTTCCTCCAAGAGGACCTAATTAGAGAAAGAAAACTCTGTTTTAAACAGTTAAATCCCTAAAGACAGACAAAAGAAAACACAAGACAAAGTAGAAATACTATTGATTATGCATAATTGGTATAATTAATTTGTAATTAGTTCATTAAAATATATAGGCATTGGAATTATGCTTGTACATTTCTGGGAATATCCTGCAAGTCACTTGGGATATGCTTATCATTTATTTGATAGATGAAACATTATTAGAAAGACAGCCCATTAAAAATTAATATACCAGAGTAATAATTTCTCGATCTCAGCATTCAGTTTTCTACGTACTCAGATTCCCATTCTGCCTCATGAAGAGTTTTTATTAATATTGTTTTTCGGAGCGTGTCTTGGGAAGTGCAGCTTTTTAGACAACTGAGGCACAATATTGTTTACGCCAAGTAAGTAGTTAGTTTGGAGAAAACAAGGAGACATATCCCACCAATATATACCATGAGAGTATTCAGCACCACGTCTAATTCTACAATCAAAATTAAGATGGAAAGGCAAAAAGCCTCATGCTCCAAAACAAATACCAAACATGGATGAAGGCAGCAGGAAGAAACTTCCACAGTACTGTAAGCAGCCCGGTCCCCGTTCTGCCGTTCTCCCCAGTTCTGGGTTTGAAGGGACCTTAAAGACCATCGAGTTCCAACCCCCTGCCCTGGGCAGGGACCCCTCCCACCAGCCCAGGTTGCTCCAAGCCCCCTCCAACCTGGCCTTGAACCCCTCCAGGGATGGGGCAGCCACAGCTTCTCTGGGCAACCTGGGCCAGTGCATATTCCTACTGATCTTTCTGAAGTCCTATAGATATTTCTATAGTGCCATTCCAACCAAAAGCTACAGAAATCATTGGATCTGAAAAACCCAGAATACCGTCACATCACCTCCAAGGTGGGTACATAAGAACAAAGTCTCCTTAAACTTCTGTGATGGGTAGAGTCAGTCTGTCTAAGTGTAACTCTGAGCATCATATCTATGCTTTCTGCTCAGAATCATCCCTTTAAAAAGTATTTTCCTCCCCACCCTGTCTCCACCAACAGTAGTGGCAGCATAGAAGGTTGGTCCCTCACTGATGCACCTCATTTAGATCCATGAAGGTAGGCCATGGAATTCTCATCATCATTTAAAAACAAAACAAACCCTCATATGATTACTCAAAATGAGCAAAATGAACAGTGGATACCTAGAGCAAATAGTGTCATTTGCTATTATAAGGCTTGAATTTTTTCTTGCAAAACAAAGAGTAGGTGTCTAAAAAATCCCCAACTTTCATTTTTTAAAGAACGGTAAAATTGCAAAAAGAAATGCAGAAAACAAAGCTGGGTCTGCAGGTCCTTTAAGCCACAATTAAACACTTCACTGTAATTTTGTGCTTCTCAGCAAATCTGCTCTAAGAATTCTGAACAGCCTCCCAGGAACCACATACTTTTTTTTTTTCCCCGCCTCCAATCTAGCATGGACAATTATTTATTTTCTTTGCCCTGCACTCAAGAATGTGATGGATGTATTTACATAAACACACACACACAATCACAGATATCTCCATATAAAAATTAATCTGCAGATGATGAAAAGTGTAAAAGATCTAAGAGGCAAATCCCAAACAAAAGAGCATACTTTATACATAAATATCTTGAAATTATAAAGATCTGAGATTAAGTGGTTTACCACTCATTTAGAATTGATTAGAATGTATTTAAATTTAGCTGAAAGTACCACAACATTGCTCATGTATTTGCATCTGCGAATAAGTAAATAAAAAGCCTGTTATTAAAGCCTTCATTAATTCTGATTATATGAGAACTTAAAAGCAAATCTGTGTATTACTGCTCTGTAAAGACTCCTTAGCAACTCTACAGTAAAGCTGGCACCGCAACACAACATGTGTCAGCGAAAATGACTAACAGGATCTATTTTCAGTAATCTTAAATCACACTGGTAAAATATAGAATTAATGGTTTTGCATAATGCTTCAAATATTTTTTTATTCTAATTCATTCCCAATTCATGCCTTATTGTATCAAAAAAGAGTGAATTTTATATCACTTGACATTTATGCACAACAGTTGAACACATTTTATTAAACTACAATGTTTAGGCAGTATTCAGATATGATGTGTATATTATTATGAAGAGTGATCCAGCTATTTTATTTCCTTATAAATATCATGGGTAGAAGTTTAAAAATGTATCGTGTTGACTAGAAACATGAAGAACCTTTCATTCTGACTACAGATTTTGAGAGTTTCTATATATTTAATTGAAGCCAATCTTTTTGAAAGGAACCATTAATTTTAGTAGAATTAAATTAAAGACTTTTCTGTTAATTACTATAGAGTTTAACAATTAAGATTATAATTTGGTACATAGGAAACGACGTTGCAATACCTATGAAAGTTTGCTTGCCACTCTCAGAGTTGAAAAGTCATTCCAAGTTAAAACAAAATAAAACAAAAACCAGCCTCCCCCCAACGTTTAGCCATTAAACTCAGAGTTATGAGGTGGAGTTTGATTAAAGATTTTGTACTTTATCACATCGATAATCAGGCCAGTTTAGAACAAGCTCTACTTTATAGAGTTGGCATCAAAATAAATTACTTTTCCCTACACAGGAAAAGTGTAGGCCAAGTCGATTTCCCAGGAATCAACACCACAAAACATTTTAAGGCACCACACAAAATAATAGATTTTAAAAGGGATTTTTAGTATTTAGTTATACAGAAAAGTATACCTGATAGTCCAAGATGCTGAATCCTAACCCATTTTTGTCTTTCTTCAGTTCAATAACCTTCACATCAGGAGACCATAACGCTAATTCCCCTTCTTCCTCCTCAGGATTAATGTCTTCCTCGGGTTTCACCTGAGAAATAAAAGCTCTAGTTCAAATGCTGTTCTTTCAGTTCTTGACAAACACTATTCCTTTAATATTTTGGTTTCCAATGGCTCATACATGCCTTAACATATGATCTTTTATGGAATTACAACTTCATTGAACATTATGCACCCAGTTTTCCCCATCTTGGTGCCTTGGATACTCCCTTGGGACAATGCCGACACGTTTTGAGCATCAGAGCCCAACCTGGCATACAAACAAATACCCATGCATTAGTCAAATTAGTTGTTATAATATTACTAACCTGTTACATGTTGATGAACTTCAACTGTCCCATTAGACGCATAAAGGAAAAATAAATATCTTAGCATAAAAGATTTAACCACAGACAGCTGATAGAAAGACCAGACCATCAGGCACATCTGATACTTGTGGCATTAAATAGGCAAACAAAAGATTGTTACACTGTAACTATACAAATAGTATCTAATTTGAAAAAGCAGTTTCTTTCACTATTTTTGAGTTCTCAGGTATAAAAGAAAAAGGTATAGTTACCCAATTTTGTTGGTTAAGGACAGCTTCATAAATACATCTTCCAAAAAGGCACCTTTTGTTGTATAACTTAAATGAGTGTTTTAACATTATTGCTATTTTAACAATATAATCTTTACAAAATATCAATGTATGATGTTCCAAGAAAAATGTTAAAGTCTTGTACCATTAACTCCATGCTGATTTTAACTTTATTTCCTTGGACAAATATGCCTATTACAGAGTACTCTCGTGAGGCAAAAGGAAGCAGTTTTTCTTCCATGCACTCTTTCTTGATACTTTTGACAAAAGAAAGCAGAAATATTGTGAGATAAGGAGAAAGCAACCCCTGTTCACTCAGTACCACTTTTTGGCAAAGGCATGCAACTGACTGGATGCACGTGGAAAATGTTTGGTAAAATGCAACATCAAAAAACACAGCAGAACAAGTTCTATTGCAACAGAAAGGACCATTTACAGAAAGGCACAATATTGTACACCTTATTCTTCCATGAAACATCCATATTTCTTGTTTATCCCTCCACCTTAGAGGAAATTATATCAGAAAATATTTTAAAAGACAAGAAGTCCTAGTGTCAATACTTTTTTGAACTAGGAACAACCATTACAAGTGCCAAGCTTTAGTTTGAGACTTTAAAGCTTCTGCAATGGAAAGAAATGTGCATTTTCATTTTTTTCCAGTTCCATAAAAACCTACTCAGAACATGGAAGTAATCAGCTAATGGTGGCAAGGATGTGATTTAGTATAATTCAGAACTCTCACTCACCTATTAAGTGCAGGAATGATGAATGGGATGTACACAGCACGCAATACCTGCCTCGTATTTATAGTACGATGAAGGTTCTCATGGATATGAGAACACTTGTATAAACTGTATTAAAAGTACCAGCGTTGCAAACATGAACTATCTCTCACTGAAACACCAGCTGTCCCTTACGAGCCCAAAGTGAACAGCAAAGGCAGCTTTATATGACAATTTAATACAAAACCTCCTCATATAACTATATATTTTAGGAAACGTTATTTGAGATTGAAAAGCGGTCTGGACCAAACAGCGAAAGGAAAACAGAAACACGGTCTTTGGAAAGCTAAATCACTTTCTCAGAAATATATAGACTTTTTCCAAAAGTTATTGTCCTTTTACACAAGTGACTGACGTGAGAAGCCTACCTTTTGTTCTGGAGGGGAAGCTCCCACGGTGGGTTCATCCACAAGAGACTCGCTGCCGTCATCAAAGAGCCGCCGACAGCAAACCAGGGTGAACGGGGGCGGCACCTCTTTGAGAAAAGTGACGGCCTCGCGGCGGGATTTTCCGTAGAGCTGGACTCCATTTACCTACACAGAAGGGGAAACATACACTCACATCAAGATAGTTAATAGGATCTCACCCTTTTTATTATTTTTTTGGCATGTACGTCTTTCCCCAGCTGAATATGAAAGTCTAATTTCACCTGGGGATTCTGGCAAAGCTTACGTAGTTTTATTAACATATTTTTTCTGAAGTACACATGCATTACAGGAATACTTAAACTTCATCTGCAAGATCTTGTGACTACTGACTGCTACATCATCTCTTCAGCTTCCTCTAACTTGTTTTCTGCTCACTACTTTTCCCAGCCTAAATCATTCTTAGCGTTGCTATTTCATTCTCACCTGCTTCTTTGTTGGAGATTTTTTTCAGCATTAGCTTTACATGTTTGAATTTTAAAAGATAAAAATTTAATTTTCCAAAATGTTTTAAGAACACACAGATGTTGAGTTCTAATCAAACACTTGAAGTCAGAACTAGCACAACTTCATCACTTGTTTCAAAGGTAACAAAACTGTTGAAACTAAAATAGGTCCTACAGAAAACATGCAAGAATGTTTATATAGTAACAAAGACAACAATTACAGTAAGCGATTAATCAGAAAACCCTGACAAGGGTCAAAGCTTACCATCCCATAAGCTTTAGATCCCAAGTGACAACAGAAGACCCTAAGGGCCATTGTTAATGGATGTTTTGAACCACAGACTTAAAAAAAAGAAGATATATAGGGAGATAGATAAATAGATAGTCAGACAGATAGATAATAATGATACTTAAAAAAATGGGATACTACAGTTGTACTTCCTCAAGAAAATAAAATTACAGTGATAGATATTTTATAACCTGCAATATCATGAGTGTACATCTGTTTGCAACGTAGCAGTACCCTAAATCCGAGGAAAGCAGAACATCAGTAGGTGTCATAGGTATGACCATCATCTACGCTGATGAGCAGCACAGCCCCAAAGGAGCAGGGGTTTAACCCGATCGATGCTACAGAGTCAATCCTGACACCTCTTGTGTTTCTGGGATTTCCTCCAGGATACCTCAAGTCTGCTCTCATCACCAAATGTCCAAAGCCGCTGAATGGCAACCACTGGTTTAGGAATGGAGCACACACCATCCAAGTCCATGCCACAGCATGAGCCAAAGCACAGGAAGTGGGGATAATTGAAGATTCTCTTTGATACTTCACTCCATACCCAAACTGCAACACTAATGTAGATGAACCCACCTTTGATCCTAGAAGATATAACACGTAACTATCCAACATCCATGTCCATACCTCTGTACGTGTGTTCTTGAGGCAGAGCCTCACCATATACCTCCCAGATCATCTTGTTCTTTAGGAGGGACTCAACCTTGTACGAGACTGGACAGCAATTGCACCTTAGCCACCATTTTCTCCTTCATCACCTCTATTTTCTCCCTCTTTTTCCAGCATAAATATAGTTTATGCTGCTGGGAAACACAGAGTTCCTCCCACACTATAACCCAGCCAAGGAGAAAAATTCAGAGTGGTGTAACTGGCCTCCAACGTGGTAAGACAAACTGCTCTGGGGTTGGTTTTTTCTGTAAGAATTACAGCAACTGCTGAGCTATCAGGCTAATCCATTAGTTAATTATTTAAGCAGAAGGATCTACGCGTAAGGATTTTTTAATGCATTGAGAGCGGCAGCGTGGTGGAAAGTTACCAGCACTTCTCAGCGCGCTGTGATTGATGGAGAAGAGCTACCACCCGCTCCTGAGCAGACTTGGGGACTCCCATTTCTCCTGTTGTGGCTGCCAGAAATCAGCCTCTACACACACGAGGTGCCCGACACCCCATCCATTCACCAGCCCGCTCAGGTTAGTTGTGCCATCAAATAGGAGGCAGTGAAATTCTTTAACAAAACTAGAAGGACACAAGGAAGCAATTTATTCCTTAAAAAAGAACACAATGAAATTAGCTAAGATTAGAAGGGGAAATAAAATACCATGCTTTCTATCATAATTCAAACACATCATTAAAAATAATCAACATCCAACCTCACTATATATTAAAAAAAATTCCTCGCTGATCACATTTTAATCCCAACTGTATCAGGCCCAGGTAGAGCTGCTTGTTTGGGGAATGGGGCTGTCACTTTTTCCATTGCAAACCCCTACTTAAGGGGATTTATAACTTGGCTGCAAAAACATACTCTGGGCTAAACCTGGCATATATAGCTTTAGCCCTGGAGCACATTTTTATTTTGTTGGGGTTTTTTTTCCAGCTACAGAGTAGAAGAAAAATTTACGCTCACTAGTTCTGGACATATCTGAGAACTTAATTGCAAGTACACAGTAATAAGTAAAACTGTTAAATATATACAATTAAAGTTTCCTAAGTTAATCTTCAGCACTGCATTATTGCTGTTCGTATACATTTTTTTGTTTAGTGGCCAAAGAATTTAAATAACACTTCCAGCATTCCATTAATCCCTTCCTTCAGGAATCAAGATTTCCTCCATTAAGTAATAAGTGAAGAAAATGTTTTAGGTCTTAGTGATATCAATATGAATTTTTGATGTTAAAGGGTGAACAACAAGTAAAAGCAAGAGCACTATACACCTAACAAATTAATCTTTCAGAAGGCCTAATTCAACTCCCACTGATGTCAATTAAATGTTCTTTGCATCCACTAAAAAAGGTTCAAATTCAAAATATTCCACAAAGAGCAGGTATTCAACAGGAAATTAACGTCTTTTCACTTGCAGGCTGAGAAACTGACAGATATACATAAATACACATTGACAAATAAGTATTATTTAAATACTATCAAAAAATATTTTTCCTGAGCAAGTAAGTCTGGTCTGATTCTGCTGATTTCAAAGCTGCCCCAATACTTCTTTATACATATTTAAACAAACTGATGTACTAGCTTATAAACACAAATGTCTTTCAACACTCAACAAGCAAGCTATAATGCGTAACAGGAACCACTATTCCTGAGACTGTTGTAAATTTTTTAGGAGTGACAAATATTAAGAAAGATTATCCACCACAAAAGCTAATGCCAAATTGCTCAAAAGACTGAGCTAAAGGACCACACATACAAATACATTCAACACAAATATTATCTCTGCCCTTATAACTCTTGATACTCATGTTAAAACATTTCAGAAAAAAAACAAACCACGAAGTCACTAAGAGGTCACAAGAATTTGACATTTTGTCCATAAAGAAGGAATGAAACAGTGAAGAAAATATATGTGACTTCCCAAGCACTGCTCTAACTGGTTCCACAACCAACTCTTGAACACTACTATCGCACACGCAGCAGCCAAACTATAATTTAATACAAGCACTTTTAAGAAGGTTAAGCAGACAGGAAATACATCAGTTCTCATTTTTTGGGGAGAGGTTGTTTTATTTTTTACCTCCAGAAGTTCATCCTCCAGTTGCAGAAGACCAAGTGTTGCAGCTGGACCATCTGAAGCAATTGATGATATATAATGATGTCCATCAAAGGTGTCAAGCTCAACTCCTAATCTCAAAGTGTGGATGGGTGATAGCTGCCAAAAGATAAATACAGCTGAAAATGTATATATATCCTTATCTACCACAATATAAACACTTTTAGGACTCAGTAGCTCACCAAATTACACTAAGCACACAGTAAGATGATTAAGTCTTTATACTGACATCATCTGCATCACAGCACAAGTGTCCATAATTTCTCTGTATAAATTGTTTGCACAAATAAAACCAACCAAGCTGCCCTTTGGGGGAAAAGGCAATTTGAACTGTATTCTTAAATATTGAAAAATATTGAAAAAAAAATGCAGAGAAAAGTACCAGCTAAAGTCTATCCTACCCAAAAGGTGAGTTCTCAACAAAACTGAAAATAATTCCACAATCACCATAAAAACTCATCACAAGACCAGCTGTCTTGCTCCTTTGGGACCTATGCTACTTAGAGGTAGGAAATATATCCACGAAGAGTCCTCTACAAATAGCTAATAATAAATCGTTGTTTCTGCAAGGTGAAATCACTGATTTTAGCCTTTTCCCAGTGGGCCTCCTTAATTTGGAATTTCTCTCTAGGGAGCCTCCAACCATTAGTGTCTCAGGTCTGCTAATAATATGAAGAGTAGCATAAAACTGAAACACTACCCAGACAAGAGAGCAGAAATCACGGCAACTCAGGGAGAAGAGATGATCAGCAGTATCTGCACCTTCAGTTTGGCCATTTTCTGGCCTTTTATTACTTAAGTTGAAACACTGACAGTCCTTCTGGTTTCCCAATTAATTCTGGATATCCAAGTACAAGAAGAAATCCATGGATCCTTGACATTCCCTCACACCCATGTCTGATCATGAGTTTATGGCACTGAGACACCCCCACGAGAATTTAAATGCTTCACCTCCACAAACTACTTTTGCCCAACATTAACATCCAGATCTTGAAAATATCTTGAAAGTCTGAAATTAATTTCAGCTCCAACCATTTTGATTAAATGGACCTCCCTCTCCCTAAGCCAGGATCACTCTGTTAAACTACTCTGCATGGCAGTAACCTTGCACACCAGTTTCAACCTCTGCTCCCTCCCAGAGTGTCTTTCAACAACTGAATTTAAATGCAATTAAGTACTCCACAATTTGAGGCTTTTATGCATGGTTTGGGGTGAGGTTGGGGTTTTTTTTTGTTTGAGGAGGTATGCGTGTTAAAAGGTTCATTCGCCTGTGCTACAAGAAGGATTGGACCAGACCAGAAGATATGCAGAATTTTGGCAGCCTTTTTTTTTGGAAAAGTAAGATAGAGCCACAAAGCCACTACGCTTCTGAAACACATAAATCTGGACTTGTGTCATGCTTTACTGGGATTATTCTGCCAACACATACCATGAAGGAAACCATCATATAAGTCATACCTTTGAGTACTTCTGGAGCTCCAAATCATCTGTAAAGGGCATATCCACATTCACAACCTAAAAATTGCACATCATTACTTTTTTTTTAATAGCAGGACAATAAACACTTTACCACAATGATGAATTCTGGCAAAAAAACCTGATGAGCAAAATAAACTGTACTTAAACAAAGTCACACTGATGCAAAATAATTTTAAACAAATGTTAGAAAAATCTTTCAGACACAGAACATTTACAACGAGGCATGTGGTGATTATGCACTATTAGCAGACTCCAATATTATCCTATTCCCGAAGCCCGAGTGCCAATTTTAGTCAAGTTCAGTAATCCTGTATAAGCACAAAATGCCATTATGTTTGACACAAATACCCAAACTGACTTGCCAATCAGAATTTGAAAAGTAGGATAGCTTAAGTTCTTACTTCAGGCTAGAGTACAGCCATCTAACATCTAGACTAAACCACCGTCTTCTGCAGCGTGTTTCTACCATGGCTTGAAATACATGAGTTTAATTACCAAATACGAATGCAAAGTGGATTATTTAAAACAGTGACAAGAAATCCCTTCAGTGTATCTTCATTTTTTTTATATTAATAAAATAACTATGTAAACCACCAGCTTTGTTGTCATGTTCATCCTTAACATACTTATCTGTAACATTAGAAGGTTATTTCATCTGATTTTAAATGTAATAAGATGACAACTGTGGTGATCTATGGGCCAGGGTTGGAGTTTGGGACACTGAGGTTGATTACGTTTGGCAGGGTTGCTACACTCATTAGATTTGGAAAATACATAGCCTTGCAGGAAATTAGAAATTTCTATCTATGAAACAATACTAAGCCTCAGCTTTTTCTTTTGGCTTTATTATAAACAGGGCTTCCAGCAGCTTGTTTTCCAGAACCTGGGGTACTTGTCCCCGACAGACAGAATCCATTTCACGTCCATTCGGTTGTAACTAAATGAATCCATGAGTGATAACTCCTCAGCTTGGCTGCTCACGCTTCGGTACCCAGCAACAAACACCAGGCGGTCGTACATCCCTGTATGGATTCCAGGGCCTCCTATTTCAGTAGGATCTCAGCTCCTTCCATTGGTACCACAAAGGATCAGCAGCACCGAAGCCATGAGTGACACCAAACCTTCTCCGCTATTTCCTCCAAAGAGTAACACTTCTGAGAGACTACTTAAAGGTTTAGGTACCTTCAGGGTGACTTTCTGGGGGCTGACTGTAGGAGTGAGGACAGCATGAAACAGGGACTGCACTATTGTGCTGAAATCGAACTCAACGTTGTTATTGAGGGCAGCCAAGCAAGACTGGAGGTGGGTACAGAAGACAAGAACTGGAAGAACTGAAAAATGACTTTCAAAATGGGATGCCACAACAGTCTCCTTCTATTATTTAAAAGGACCCATCATTAACATTTTCACTCCTGACATTTTCCTGGTGGCAGCTAAAAAAGAATTGGAAACAGACGGTTTCACGAACTCAGCAGGTTTTCGTCCTCTGTGGGAAGGCTGATAGTGCTAAGGGAAGTAATATCAGACTCTTGAAATGTAAGGATGGGAATACCAAGCAACTGGAGTGGGCAGCCAAACAGATTTATTGCATCACGTACATAATCTTACACGAACTTCAGATCTTAAAGGAGTGCTAATGGAAAGGAGAGAAGTGAGTTTCTCAAGGCAATTCTTAAAGCTACTTTAAATCTTCCAGTGAGTGACTGGAACGATGGCTACTCCAAGTAAAAAAAAAAAATAAGTGTCTCTAAATCAACTGGACAAGCATTGCAAAGACAAACAGGGCATTTTCTTGGTGGTGGTGAGAATTTTTTAAGTCTTTGGAAGGAAGACTGGCTGGAGTCTTTTATCTGTACTCACTGGCTAACACAGCACTGAACAGCAGCAGTGAATTACAATTTCAGTCAACTCCTTAGGAAGATTTCTCAAAACAATCTTTTGCTTGGCAATTATTTAATATGAAGTGAAGAAATATCTAATAGACACTGGCACCACAAAGTTACACTACCGTGAATTACTTCCTGTTTTCCCAGCACGTTTGAAAATCATTCTTTCATTCTTCCAATAAAGCTGTAAGATTCTTTGTGAAACACAAGAGCTCTATCCTGAGCCTTTTTTTTTTCCCAGTGCACAATAAAACAAATAGATCATAAATGAAATCATAAAAATGCCACATATTTTAAGTGGCTGTTATGATGCAGATTTAAAAGGACAGTTGATTTTCTTAAATCACTGTTCCTGTCTAGTATCTGTATAAAGACAGTATCTATACAAACAGAATGAAAAAAGCCCCAAAACCCTCAACAACTCGTTATAACACTTCTATATTTCAGCCTTGATGATAAGGGAATCAAGATTTGATGTTACTGATCTGTTCCAAACACTAAACTGTTCTATAAACAGCCTGTAATGCTAAGCTCACAGATCTGTAATTTGAAGAAATGACACACATGAATGTAGTTTATTGAAAGATAACATACCATAACTTCGTATTCAGGTCCCAGCAGGTTTTCCCACTTGGATTTCAGCTCATGTGTTGGAGGGAGCGGGACTTTTCCTAAATAGGAAAGCGAATATTAAATTTACAACCATATTGTACATTCAGAAGTACATTTACTTCTAAACACTTCAATAAAAATTCAGTGTAAATAAAAGATTACAGGGAATAATCCCAAAAAGGAAAGTGCATTAAGCTGAGTCTATCAAACAGTGCAAATCAAAAATGTCTTTCTTAGGAAAACAATGCAAAATGTCAGCTACTGCTAACGTGTGATTTATTCAACTGAGAAGCAGAAGAGGTGATGCTTGCATTGATGAGATGCGAGTTCTGTACCCTATAGTGCTGTAAATAAATCATTCTTCCAGGCTGCAAAACAAATTTCACACGACTTCATAATTTGTTGCTATAAAAACGTTTGCCACTCCAGGGAAGCATCATCTCCCACCAAAATGAACCCCCTCACGAAGTAAAACACCTGACGAGATATTGCTGTTATCGAGGGGCTGCATCAGCATAATGCACTCACAGACTTTATTTATATATTTGGCAGGTATAAAGGCTTGTCCAGTTTAATTAGGCCAGTAAGTAACATGAGCTTTAATATAAGCTCCAGTTCTAAACCAGTCTTCCGTGGGAACTTGGCTATCTTGACATTTATATCTTTTCAGCTTTCTTACTTATGCAACCGAGGCAGTATTACATTCATGTAAGACAATTTGACAGAGCTAGACAGCAGAAAATGACTGGCTGCCCTGCATTTGACCTCCTCCAGAAGCTCAGTGCACATATAAAGTTCCAAGGCCAAGCAATGTTTAACTGGTAAGAATCAAGTTCTAAAGCAAATTCCATCTAGCAGCTACAGCAGCAGCAACTGGGCTCTGAATTACCCAAAACTGGAGGTTTTTTTCCCCGCGAAGGACTGTAATAGTTTGTCAGATGTCTAGACAAGGCACAGACCACTTAGTATTGCTGATGTGTCCTACTTAAATTTAGCATGGAAATCACAACCTCGCATTTTGCACACAAAGTAGCGAGTAAAACACCTCAAGGGGGGAATTTTGAAGGCACCAAGTAGAAGCTCAGAGCCTACCTACTAGCAAAAGCCAACACAAATGGGATGTCAGGCTGCCTCTGCTTTCAACACCTCTGCAGACTGCAAAGATAAAACGTGAGCTCTGCAATACAATCCTCATTACATCATTTTATAACTTTGAAGTTTTCCGCTCATTAAAAGCAAAAATTTAAGTTAACTTTTACAACAACATAACGCATCGCTGTGTCTCTTCCGCTCGCTCTCTGTCACACCAGACAGGCAAGTTCTGTCTGATCTGCACCGAGAAACCACACTCCTCAGAGCCCAACAACTGAGATTTCACTCAGAAATATTTCGAGCTTCTGTAGCCTATAGGCTCAAGGAGATACAGATATCCGAGGATTCCAGCAATTCAGATAACTATTTTCTGTCACCAAAAAGAAACCCCACTAGGAAAAAAAAAAAAAAAAAAAAAAAAAAAAAAAAAGCTTGGGTTTGTAAATAGAGCCCACAGTTCTCTCTGAAATGAATTATCGCCTTAAAAAAAGAAGGAAGAAAAATTGTCCCAAAATTCTCAGCTGTGATTTAATGGTTTTTTCCTCCATTGAAATATAATTGAAGTTTCCAAGAAGTCATCTTGGTGTTACCAAGCACAGGCTCATCGCTATCTTTACTTCCCAACTGTAGCAAAACCAAAACACCAAAGCATTTTCCTGCTCCTTCTATTTGGAGAAATACATAGAGACAGAAATTCCTTAAGTCTCTTTTTCTGCTATTACAAAGCTACAGCATGAACACAGAGGACCTAAGCACCTGCAATCCCCTCTGCAGCCAAATATAGATTTTAAGGTTCACCAGGAGCAATGAATCTTAGGGTCAAGCTCAACGTTCAGTTCAGTAACTGTAAGCTGTGTTCAGTTGGCTGAACACAGATTTTTTTTGTCACTTCCAAAACACATTATCAAAATCTATGAGTTGTTCCGAGCAGGTGCTGATGCACATCTCCATTTGACATTTCCCCCCTTCTTTCTTTCAAACAGACTTTGAAGTCTTTGCCTGTGACTTCCTCATAACTGTGGAAATGTTGGCTGGAGGGGATTTGGATTAAATATATTCAATTCCAATCCACCCATTTCACTTAAAATGCTCCTTTTTTCCCCAAACAGCTTTTTCACATGGCAGCTAATAGGAAGTTTATTTCTAGTCTCTCATCCAGCTGGATTTCTCATGACCTGAGATCTGTCCCACATCTTCAATAATGTGCAAGGCCTCAGAAATGAAGGGACAGCTCTCATTAGCAACAACTTTTAATATATTTAGCCTGTCCTTCTGTCTGCACTTCCATATAGTTTTTTTTATTTCTCATTAGCAAGCATCAAGAATAAATCACAAGTGTATTGCACAAAGAATCCTTCCTGATTGAAATCGCCAGCATCTTCAAAATTGGGATCTTTTCTTCTTGCAATTTCCTCCTGGTTTCACAAATTTACTATACAAGGATGTGCAGTGTGCTCTGCTGCACTTCATTAACGCCCTACCTTTATCTGCCTTACCATTGGGTAGTTTTCCCTGGCTGCCTTTAAGTGCCTGATGAGCATCATCACGTCTTTGGGGTTTGAGAACTGCTGCGAGGCAAAAGAAAGCAGCTCTGCCCGGTCTGCAGCCTTGCAGATGCAGCTGGTAAGTTAATTGCCTCTAGGCTGCGAGCAGAAAGTTTCAGGCCTCCTGCACATTGCATCCTAAACCACGTTGCCTTTGTAACAGAACTGCTTAAGCACGGCTTTGCCTGGCCAGAATTACTATTTAATGCCTCTCCAGGAAACACAGTTTAATAAGAATTTCACACGACTGTGCTTAAAGGGAAGTAATACATATTTTATAAAACATACCTTTTACATTAAACTTCTAAGAGCATTTCCAGAGTTTAGTCAGAGCCTTAAATTAGCAGTATTTACTTTAGCACCATTATAATGAAGTGCCCATCACCATGTCCAAAATAAGCACCTATCTTTGGAATTTAAACTTGGCCGTTAAATTCTATTCCAAGGTGAAACCTTATACATCCTATTTCAGTATGAGTAAAATTTGCAACTAAGTGTTTCAACTTTCTTAACGGAGATAGACATTTTAGGGTTGTATAAAGCTTTCCCAGAGCCTTGTAACTTAAAGTGGTTTTTCACTAAGACCAAGCAATGATACTTGCTTATCATTATATTAAATGCTCCTCATTCCTTACTCAGTTTGAAAGCCGTGCCCATCATCCTGCTGACCCAAGGAGGACCAGAGATGCTGGATGGTATCAAGGGCAGTATCCAACTTCAGTGTTCAAATTTTGGTATCCCCAGACACACTGCACACACGGAATCACAGAATCACAGAATCTTCTAGGTTGGAAGGGACCTTAAAGATCATCTTGTCCAACCGTCAACCTAACTGACAAAAATAAAAAACATTACCCTGTATTCTCCAGGGTAAGAGGAGCGTGGACACATGGGAGAATAGAAAAATCTGGTAGTACACTTGCTACACAGATACACCACACTGCCCCTGCAAGGAATCCACATGGGTCCAACCAGCAGCTGTGAATTCTGGGCAATGGAGCCCTTGCCAGCCCCAGGTGCACTCCACAGAGCTCCAAGGAAGGGGATTAGGAGATTTGCACAATGCTAGAATTGAAGGGGAGCCACTCGTATACGTACAAATGGATTACAAACTCCTTTTGAAACTAAGGGCTTTGGAATATATATGGAGATGCAGTGGATCTGCATGAGAGCAGTTTGGGCCTGCTGTGAAAAGGGCTCAAAAGTAGAGTTTGAGTCAAGCTGATCACAAAGGCATATCTAGATAACACACGAGCCCAACAGACTTTGTTAACTTGAAGCTGGGTAAAAGCAATTTTGGTTCCCAGCACAAGCTGATCCTGGCATTGATAGACCGTGTTTGCTCAGCGCTGGGTATTGGGTAACAAATTCCTCAGAAAGCTCTCCGTGCGTCAGGGCAGACCCCTGCGGCCTGTGACACAGGAGAACCCAATCACCCGTGGTCAGGGCCTGACCACAGAGACACTGTTCACTTCAGCAGAAAAAGAAAATACTTGATGTATAGGAAGTTCCACAGGAAAAAAAAAAAAAAGAAGACTGGGTAAGTGAGACAGGACAGCACGTGTTGCCCTTTTTTAGCCTCAGTCATAACAAGTCTAAGCCCATCTGGCTCTTCTGCCCCTAAATACATCTTATTGCTAAGCCCTTAAGTTATTGGACCACTGTAAGTACAGATCAATATCTGCTTTTCCATTACAGCTAAAACAATGCTTTGATAACCTCCCATCCCAGCTACTCAGCCACCTCTGTTTTGGCTTCCTATTTCTGGGAATATGCAAAAGTCACAACAAAGGATGTCTGGTTACAAGGCTTGGACAAAAAAGCAAACCAGAATGGAACATTAGGAACTGCTACATTTCTCTCGTTTCCAGGTTGTCTTTAATACTGACAGATCTTCCACAATCACAGCAAAATTGTTATTCATTGACAGCCATAATTTAGAATCCTCTATTACATCTACATATCTTAGAAACAACAAGGCATAAGGATAATTTATGCTGACTTTAACACAAGCTGTAGAAATTCACCCAGAAGTTCCTGTAGAAGAGCCCAGAAATCTGTAGGGGAGTTGAAGCTCGCCTTCTGGAAAGGCCTCCAACCTTGATTCAGAAGTCAGCTAAAAACCAAAGCAATCCATGCCTTTGTGATCTGCCTTGGCTGTTAAAAACTTACATCTAATTTGAACTCCTGTCCACCTTCTGATTCCAGCTATTGGGTCTTTATGCCTAGTACACCTTTGTCAGACCAGAGATTCTCATATGCCTGCAGAGGTGTGTGGTCAACAATTTCCAGTCACACCAGTAAGCTCAGGATAAGCCAGAAAATGCACATCTAGAGACCAAACTCTAGTTTCCTGCAGCAGCATGGGAGGAAGCAGTACGCAACAGCAACCATTAGTACCACCAGGGAAATGAGTTGGGTCTGGGAAGCAGCAGGAAGCATGGAGAGGTTCATGGGAAGCAAGAATTTCATTCCCAAGTGGGGAATCTCACAGGATTACGTGGCAAGTGGCACACAGGTGAGCCAGATGTTCATGGAAACAGCACCTGCCTCATTTGCGTGGAAAATGACCTACAAATGGAGACATGTCAGAAGACATGATCCCCTGTCCCTGCTGCTGCAGCCACCTCTGGTCCTTGAGCAAGCCCAGCTCAGGCAAAACTCCCAAGGGAGGATGGTGCAGCTCAGGTCACAGGTTGTAAGAGGCCAAGCCGAGTGCGGAAGGGGAGTTCTGATGAAGTTACTGCAGTGCCAAAAGAGGAAACTGCAATAAATGGGCATCAGAGGTGACATACAGGAAACCAACAGAGTATTCTTAAAAGACTCTGCAGAAGCAGGAGCCTAAGACCTCTGGGGACAAGAAGATAGACATGACTGAGGTAACACTGGAGCAGGAAGTAAATGTGAACTCCCAGGAGTTCCGTCTCCTGACCTAGCAATCAGGGTCGGGGCCCTGGCAGCAGGGGAGGATGAAAAAATCTTCTCTTTCAGGAGAAGACTGAAGGCAGGACATCTCAGGTCATCAGAGTAGGACCAGGGCTAGAAAGAGGAATCGGTGAGCTGGAGGCATATAGAGCTCTATAGAGCTTATGAGATTCATTCCAGATACTGAAAGGGCTGCACCTCCATTGTCTATAATTACAAAAAAAACCCACCAAAACAAAACATGGAAATCAAAGGGGATCACTAGTGACTGGAAAAGGGCAAACTTTATGCAAGGAGGAAGATCCAGAGAATTGCAGACCAGTCAGTGTCACCTTTGGCCCCTGGAGAGACAGTGAGATACTTCACCACGGAATCCACTTCTGAAGACGTAAATGATAAAAAGGCAAATCAGGAAGAGTTAATATAGATTTGCCAAATAACTGGCCAATCTGCCTGCTAAGATAGCTATGTGGATGAAGGGTGTAATAGACCTCAACTTTACCAAAGCTTTTGACACTATTTACATCAGCATTCTCACTTGGAAACTGAGGAACCATCAGTTTGATGACTGCTGAACAGGCGGAAAACTAGATGGACCACTGGGATCAAAGACAGCATTAACCAATGGCTTGACAGCCAGTTATGAGGGAAGGTCAATAGCTACAGGGGCTAATATTATCCACTATCTTCATCAGATGACACAATAGCCCTCTCAGCAAAGCTGTGGACAGTGCTACATTTTGGGGACAGGGTGGGGTAGAAGAGTTGATAGATCCAACAGGTAGACCTTTACTTCAAAGGGACCTGAATAAAAAGCATTACAGAGCAAAAGCTAAAGATGGAGTAAGCCACAACAGCCCATCAGTATTGAAAACAGACAATTCCAAAGACTCAGAAGAGAAACTGTAAGATATTCTCTCTACCTGTCTTATGTAGACTCTGCTTCTTTTCATTTTTCAGATTATCCTTCTGTTCTCGGTTTTCCTCATTCTTAGTGCCCACACTAGTTTCAGCCACTACAGCTCCAGGGGACACAAAGGTTGGAACAGTTGGCAGCACTGCAAAAACACATTAAAAAAATAATAAATCATATGCTGCAAAATATATGAAGTAGTAACACCTCCTCATTAACTACTATTTCTTTTTTTTTGGCTGCACAGAAGTTTTGCATTCAATTTCCCCAAATCCCTCATTTCTGTTTCTTTCCATTCCTCTTTAAGTATCTCATTTTCTACAGTGTGCCCTTACAAAACAGAGAATGATGTGGTATCTAGTCCTAATTGTTAAATTAGGTAACTGTAAATTGAGTGAAAAATAGAATTGGATGCTGAAAAGGGGAAAAAAAAAAAAAAAAAGAAAAAAAAAAAAAAAAAGAAAAAAAAAAAAAAAAAGAAAAAAAAAAAAAAAAAGAAAAAAAAAAAAAAAAAGAAAAAAAAAAAAAAAAAGAAAAAAAAAAAAAAAAAGAAAAAAAAAAAAAAAAAGAAAAAAAAAAAAAAAAAGAAAAAAAAAAAAAGGATTACCTCTATCTGAAGTTCTTTCTGAAATAGTAAAAGTAGTTTTTCTTCTGAGCAAGGTAAGGCGTACGGTCTGTCCCGTGTTACGCAACACCTCTACCACTTCTTGGTTGGTATAGTCCTGTATATTAACTCCATCGACCTAAAATTAAAAAACCGTATCATATAATAGCAACCACATTACATTCTTAGGCTGCATGCACATTATTGTGTGTAGAAATTTTAGGGTTATTCACCCAAGACAGGAGTATTTGCAAAACAATCTCAGTAAATCGGTTATGTTTCACTAATTAGTTATTATTTTCAAAATGCATTTTAAATGGAAACATAACAGTAATTTCTTCTGTCTTCATGGGGCAACCACAGAACAGAATTTACCAATCTAAGTATGCACTGATTTCCCCCTAGAATTTTTTTTGGTTACAAAAACCAGCGTGAGGAGTATTGTGGGTGGAGCTTCCCAGCAAGACTAGTCAACCTAGAACTGTTCAGCTCATTATCACTTAGTTTTCTCATGGATTTCTAACATGCCCCACACAAGCCTATACACATAACTGTTCATCTAATCCATTCTGAACAGCCCAATTCTTATATTAATTCGGATGTTTTAATTTACACCCAAAATACTCTGTTCACTTCACTGTTAGATCATGCATCAATAGGGGCTTCTCCTGCAAAGCTGCAGATAAAAGCACAAGGTTGTATTCATTTTCGGTCCCACAAAAGGAAAAGCTGACTTTGGAAGGTCTGGCACAGCACACATTTTAAAAGTAATTTAAAATCATATCTCTATAAATATTATCTCTTAAAACAAAGCGACTGTGTAATTCATTCCTGCTTGTACTGTGAATGCAAAATTGGCTATTATTCAAATCACTGTAATTCAATGGGTTTTAATTTTTCTACACATAAAGCTTGGGTTTTTAAACCTAAATTGCGACTTATTACCATTTTGATTGTATCCACACTATGCTACACAGTCATTAAGGACCATAAACAGTGTGCCACATCTTGCAAAATCTTAACCATCCTCAAATTCCATTCAATTCAAATAGAAGCTAATGCTGCTCAACTTTACTTCAGGCCAAAAGCCAAGATTCTCCACTCTGAAACATTTTCATCCAAATGCTTGCCTCTTTCATAGTTAACTACTATTTACTACTTCTCTGAATATAAAATAATGTTTTAACCACAGCAAGGCAAAGCTCATTTCTGTTACAAATCTACCTAAACAAATACAAACTACCAAATTATTCCCTCTATAAAGCGGAGGAGGTTTAATTAATTTTTAGAAAGTCTTGACTCCATTGTTCGTTTAACACCGAGATGTGTAATGAAGTATTAATTCTACAACAATATATAAGCAGATGATTTTACTTACAGCAACAATTTTGTCATTAACATGAATTTGGCCATTGTGGTCAGCAGCACTACCAGGTATTATATTTTTCACGAAAATCCCTGAAGGTTCTGTTGGCAGGGAGGGGGGGGGGGAAGAGAAACAAGTCACTACATTAACCTGTTTCTTTTCTTAATAAGATTTTTAATTACATCCTTTTTCACACACTTCTGTCCACAAAGTTACGATTCTGTAAACCACCAGCACTTGCATATTACCACTCACACAGCTTGACATAGAACAACTGAGGATCTCCACTGGAAAAAACCAGCACCGGCACAATCACCTGTACACTGACCTCAAAACCTCAACATTTTTTCCCTAAAATGGCCCCGAAAAAGCCACCTCCTCCATGGATTCATCCTTGTGCTTACCCAGGCTTTAAACCACAATCACTTAAATCCATGCCGCATTTGATTTCAATAGGACTACCTAAGCTAAAAGTAAAGTATGTGCTTAAGTACTTTGATCAGGACTTCAATCATCTTACAGCTGAAGAATTTAGTACTTTAAATCTTAATCAAAAAGGATTTTTCTTTAAAAAGAAAAAAAAAAAAAAGAGAAACATGGAAATCAGAAAAGCTGTCCTTTGTCATGTTTGATGTTTGACTATTAATTCTAACTTCTAATTAGAACAAGGAAATTAAAACAAAACAGAACAGTAGAAAACCCCAATCATCAGTTGAAACAGTAACCCTTTCCTTCCACAAACTCCAGAAAAATATGAGATGCTGATCTTTAATTCTACTGAATCTTCACACTTCATCCACCCTTTTGTGAACACTAACCTTCTTCAGACCCCAGCCCAACATGGTTTGTCCAGGTTCAGCAAAACCCCTCTACCTTTTCCCATTGCCTGACACTGATCCCAGTGCTCCTGGGATTCCTGGCCAGTAACATCTCTGGGATCCCCTGGGAACCCCAGCTGCACCACATTCCCAGAATACTCTCTGGAGTCCCACAAGGAAGGGGAGGGGGTAAAAAGCACCACCCCTTTGTGTAAAACCAGATATTCAGTTGAGTCAATTTTAAAGACATTATGATTTGCGGAACCAATATTTGAAAGAAGAGTTAACAGCTCTAATTTAAAGAGGATTTAGAAAAAAAAAAAAGCCTACAACCTAATTCCATGTCCCTATATCCCAGCACAGGTATTTTAATCTGTCTCCAGAGTTTTGATGCTGAACCAGCCATCAGCCAAAGACAAGTAGATCATCTTGTGAAGGCATCACCCACATGCACAGCTATGACTCTGCATCTCCTGCCTGGCAGAGGGATGGACCAGTTAATCTGACTGATCGTTCCCACTCGAACTCCTACAATTCATTAAACAAACGAAACTTGCACGTTGAGCTATTTTGTACATACTGAAGATGCCATTCAAAAGTTAATGCCAACTGGGGACATCCGATACTCTGGTCTTGAAAATCTTCCTGAAATGTGCTATCTGAATGGTGTTATACACCACAGGGCAAAACGAGGACAGTGTAGACACAAACCTGTGTCAAGAGTCTCTACGCGCAGGAACTATCTCTTACAGTTTAATGTCCTGCACAGTAACAGAAACATGTAAAATTCACAGGCCAGCAGTCAGGTGGGAATTATTCCTTTAAGCTAATTACAACTCTTTATAAAATGTTGTGGCTGAATTTCACTTTGCAGCAAGTTCTCCAAATATCTTCTTCATAGATTTTGTAAGTGACACTGTTTCAAACAAGCAGTATCCGCTTTCCCCATAGTAAATAGAGGGTATTTGAGAAGCCCCTGTCCTAGACTTCACTAAATCCTGTAGAGTGGGAATTATTCCTTTTAAGCTAATTACAACTCTATAAAATTTTGTGGCTGAATTTCACTTTGCAGCAAGTTCTCCAAATATCTTCTTCATAGATTTTGTAAGTGACACTGTTTCAAACAAGCAGTATCCGCTTTCCCCATAGTAAATAGAGGGTATTTGAGAAGCCCCTGTCCTAGACTTCACTAAATCCTGTAGAACTCACCTACATCACATGTGCCAGCATAACCAACAATTGTTATCCCCAGGCTTTGGCCATTCTTTTTTATAAGTTCAACATCATAGGTCTCAAAAAGGCTGGTATTATCCTATAAAAAAAAGCACAAGACAGAAAAAAAATCTCATAATTTCCCAGTACCATTACATCTCCAAATATCTTCTTCATAGATTTTGTAAGTGACACCATTTCATACAAGCATTATCCACTTTCCCCATAGTAAATAGAGGATATTTGAGAAGCCCCTGTCCTAGACTTTACTAAATCCTGTAGAACTCACCTACATCACACGTGCCAGCATAACCAACAATTGTTATACCCAGGCTTTGGCCATTCTTTTTTATAAGTTCAACATCATAGGTCTCAAAAAGGTTGGTATTATCCTATAAAAAAAGAACAAGAGAGCAAAAAAATCTCATAATTTCCCAGTACCATTACAATATTGCAGGTTAATTAAGATCTTCAGAAGTGAGCAGTGATTTTCATGTTCCTATTTTAGGAAGGATCATATTTGCAAAAGGGATAAACTCAAGATTTGCTGAAAATAAGGTGTCAACCAAAGTAATTAGTTGCTTTTTAAATTCTTCCGTAATATTTTCTCCACATACCTGTCAGAGGTATAATATTTATATTTCATGGAAAACAAGGACTGCTCGAGGGCCATTTCCATTTTGATTCCACTGCTTCTTGGTAACAACAAATGTCCCAGCCAATCCCACAAGACAATAGAAACCCTGAATGCCCCCAGAATGTCTTCTCCCCCTTTCATATGTCAGTCCTGATAAACAGTGGAATGAGCTCACTCTTCTACTCTTCCTACTGGAGAGTTAAGAAGCTAAAAACCCTGGTATAAAGACAGTGTTATCACACCACACATTTCTGTCAGAAAAAGCGATGATTATTATCTCTCCTTGTTATCACCGACGGAGGAAGCGAGGGGCAGCAGCAAAGAGATCTCAAAACAAACAGGATGCTCTGAAATGAAAGAAACCACGCGTGTATATACTGCCGCATTTGATTTCAATAGGACTACCTAAGCTAAAAGTAAAGTATGTGCTTAAGTACTTTGATCAGGACTTCAATCATCTTACAGCTGAAGAATTTAGTACTTTAAATCTTAATCAAAAAGGATTTTTCTTTAAAAAAAAAAAAAAAAAAAGAGAAACATGGAAATCAGAAAAGCTGTCCTTTGTCATGTTTGATGTTTGACTATTAATTCTAACTTCTAATTAGAACAAGGAAATTAAAACAAAACAGAACAGTAGAAAACCCCAATCATCAGTTGAAACAGTAACCCTTTCCTTCCACAAACTCCAGCAAAATATGAGATGCTGATCTTTAATTCTACTGAATCTTCACACTTCATCCACCCTTTTGTGAACACTAACCTTCTTCAGACCCCAGCCCAACATGGTTTGTCCAGGTTCAGCAAAACCCCTCTACCTTTTCCCATTGCCTGACACTGATCCCAGTGCTCCTGGGATTCCTGGCCAGTAACATCTCTGGGATCCCCTGGGAACCCCAGCTGCACCACATTCCCAGAATACTTTCTGGAGTCCCACAAGGAAGGAGAGGGGGCAAAAAGCACCACCCCTTTGTGTAAAACCAAATATTCAGTTAAGTCAATTTTAAAGGCATTATGATTTGTGGAACCAATATTTGAAAGAAGAGTTAACAGCTCTAATTTAAAGAGGATTTAGGAAAAAAAAAATTAAAAAATGCCTACAACCTAATTCCATGTCCCTATATCCCAACACAGGTATTTTAATCTGTCCTCAGAGTTTTGACGCTGAACCAGCCATCAGCCAAAGACAAGTAGATCATCTTGTGAAGGCATCACCCACATGCACAGCTATGACTCTGCATCTCCTGCCTGGCAGAGGGATGGACCAGTTAATCTGACTGATCGTTCCCGCTCAAACTCCTACAATTCATTAAACAAATGAAACTCGCACGTTGAGCTATTTTGTACATACTGAAGATGCCATTCAAAAGTTAATGCCAACTGGGGACATCCGATACTCTGGTCTTGAAAATCTTCCTGAAATGTGCTATCTGAATGGTGCTATACACCACAGGGCAAAATGAGGACAGTGTAGACACGAACCTGTGTCAAGAGTCTCTACGCGCAGGAACTATCTCTTACAGTTTAATGTCTTGCACAGTAACAGAAACATGTAAAATTCACAGGCCAGCAGTCAAGTGGGAATTATTCCTTTTAAGCTAATTACAACTCTATAAAATTTTGTGGCTGAATTTCACTTTGCAGCAAGTTCTCCAAATATCTTCTTCATAGATTTTGTAAGTGACACCATTTCATACAAGCATTATCCACTTTCCCCATAGTAAATAGAGGATATTTGAGAAGCCCCTGTCCTAGACTTTACTAAATCCTGTAGAACTCACCTACATCACATGTGCCAGCATAACCAACAATTGTTATCCCCAGGCTTTGGCCATTCTTTTTTATAAGTTCAACATCATAGGTCTCAAAAAGGTTGGTATTATCCTATAAAAAAAGAACAAGAGAGCAAAAAAATCTCATAATTTCCCAGTACCATTACAATATTGCAGGTTAATTAAGATCTTCAGAAGTGAGCAGTGATTTTCATTTTCCTATTTTAGGAGGGATCATATTTGCAAAAGGATAAACTCAAGATTTGCTGAAAATAAGGTGTCAACCAAAGTAATTAGTTGCTTTTTAAATTCTTCCGTAATATTTTCTCCACATACCTGTCAGAGGTATAATATTTATATTTCATGGAAAACAAGGACTGCTCGGGGGCCATTTCCATTTTGATTCCACTGCTTCTTGGTAACAACAAATGTCCCAGCCAATCCCACAAGACAATAGAAACCCTGAATGCCCCCAGAATGTCTTCTCTTCCTTTCATATGTCAGTCCTGATAAACAGTGGAATGAGCTCACTCTTCTACTCTTTCTACTGGAGAGTTAAGAAGCTAAAAACCCTGGTATAAAGACAGTGTTATCACACCACACATTTCTGTCAGAAAAAGCGATGATTATTATCTCTCCTTGTTATCACCGACGGAGGAAGCGAGGGGCAGCAGCAAAGAGATCTCAAAACAAACAGGATGCTCTGAAATGAAAGAAACCACGCGTGTATATACGTAGGAGGCGCAGCTCCACTACAGAAGCAGTTGCCTGCTTAAATGCAAATACAGGAGACCAGGTAGGTGTTTGAGCTTATTGTTTGGTTTTATGCTAGAACCCAAACCACAAAACCACTCCAACAGTCAATCTTACAGTCAATCGACATCACCAAACTGCAAAGAGCACTGGAAGCCTCCAGGTTGTCTAAGGCAATGGGAAGCAAAAGACCCATTAGTTTGCATTCAATTACAATTATTTTTAAGACCTAAAGAGGAAGTGAAAATATTCATTTGTAAACGCTTTATTGTGCAACTGTTCAGGTGACTTCTTATAACAAACAATACTTGAAAAGAGAAGCACATAACATGACCTGTTCTCTGAACCCTCCCTCTGCTTACTACAATTACCAAAAAACCATAAAAGCCACTAGCTGAGATTATGATCTGATCTGACCTTACTCTGGAGAAGTCTATGGAAAAAGGTCCCCACAAAGCTGGCCTTGGTATATCTGAACTGCTCTACCCTGACAAGTGAAAATCAAAACTGCAAGAGAGAGTTCAAATAGGATACACTAAAGTCATTGGTGATACCAAAGAGAAAAACAATCAAGCACACACATCTGGGATTGCAAGGGATAAATTAAAATACATAAACCTGTTTGTTTTCAGTAACCAGATACAGCCCAATGGGATCAAAAAGAAGATGATGATGAGAGTAAGGTCTGTTAAAGTGATGAAATTGAGAGGGATAGTGTCACTGCCAAGAGCAAAAAATGGACCGGGAAATAGGAAAACATTTCTTAAAACAGTGAACAAAAGAGAAGCTAAATCAAATGCTTGCCAAATACCAGCTTCGGAAGGATTTATATTAAAATCAGGACAAAGTTATGGCTGTACCTATTTCACTTTTCACTGCAAGAGAAATCAATGGCCAGCTATCTCCTTTCTTATCACATACACGTCCCTCCACTAGCCAACTCATTAAGCCCATTAAATGCTTTCCAACTCTCTTGCTCCATAAGACGCTGATGGAGATGAAGATAAGTTTTGATGCTCTGTATCTTATCTTTAGGAAAGGGAATCAAAACAGTAAACAAGCCTATAGCAACATCTGAAATGGAGCTATGGCCTTGGGAGTCCTGCTATTTTGACAGTCAAAAGCCCTTCACAGTGCTCTAGTGCTACGGAAATTTTCTCTAAGTAGAAATCCTCTAGTAGAATGCAAAACATTACAAGTGTAGTCTGGAAAAACCAAAGTAGAGGTCCTAAAATACAGCCAGCACGAGCAGGCTGCTAACATTGTTGTCAGTATCTTGGAGAGTACAGATAATATGACTGTTTTCTTGTGCCCATGCATGGACATAAGTAGTTTCAGTTGATTCTCTACTATAGGAAGTTTGAAGGAAATAAAATATTAATACAAAACTGAAAAAACCTAAGCATAGATTAAAAACGTCTTTCTGCTGGTTTGCAAAAAAGAAAAGGAAAATATTTTCTGGTCTTAAGCTCACAGCTAGTGAAAGTACTCAGAAACCAGAGAGAAATTAGATTATAGCAAAAAGTTCTGCTGTAAATCAGACACAAACTGAAAGGTAGACCATTAAAATCATCATTAAATTAATAAACACATTCAGATTAGCCACTATTTTTGAGATCAGCAAATCTCTCTTAACCCCAGAAAGAGAGGGTTCTTCAAATCTACAAATGAAGGCAATAGATACTTTCAGAAAGAAGTATGAAATTGCAATGGTGGGGTTTTTTTCTCCTCTAAACCACAAAGCAGGAATAAGGAGGACACTGAAAAGACATCCAGAAGGAATAACATTTTAGAAAAGCACCAAAAAAGTTTGGTGTCAATTAGTGACAAACAGGCCCACTTTTGATGTAGTGAAGAGAGAAAAATAGTACTATGTAGAGGAAACAAAACTAGGACCATGTTATTTTTTTCCTAATATGGGCCCTGGAAAATATCATACAGCCGAAAAAGAAGTGCTTCATAACGATGTTCATTCTCTCTTTCAGAGTATTAGGCAAGCCCACTTTTAATATTCCAGCTTTATGTACACAGATTACTCCCTCCTACCTCTCTGCCACTCACGTTTCCTACTACACCAATTCCTCTTATGAAAAGAGCAGCTTGAGGAGGACCCAAAAAGCTTTAGTGACAGCTTCAGCCACTGGAGTCTTCCAGAAAGATGCAAGACACCAAGCTAATGGGTGTCTCTGCAGTGACTATGCCCAGCAAGCAAGAAGGTGAGTTTGTAGCCATATGACTGCTAGTTTGACCTTTAAAAAATGGTGCTTTAAAAAAAACCCAAAGAGCTCCCTTCACTCGTATTCAACAAACTAGACAAGAAAGAAAAGGCTACTCAGATTCTACACCTAAATCTAAGCAGCACAGTAGTAGCAGATGGTACACAAGCACAGCTTTGTTTATGTTTCGAGACCTACTGTACACTTAGTGTAGCATTTGTTGATTTTAATTACTCAAAACTGAAAAGAATGACTTCAAAAACAAGAGACTTTGATATGACCATGATAAGATTTGCTAAAACAAGTTTCAAAATTTTTAGATATATTTCCTATCACAGACAGTAGCGTAGACGATGAAAACATTACACTTATGTTTCATAAAAAGATGATTGTGCTGAATAATTCTGGTGTGGCCGTGGCGCTCTGGATTTCAGACTAGGGAAATTCACAGTCAAGTTTTAAATCCACTTACAAATGATTGATTAGCAAAAATGTAATGAGCTAAGGAGGAGAACTAAAAGTACCATTTATCGATAACATTTATGGTCTCGGTAATTAAATTACCCACTCTGAAGTAAATTCCGTAAAGCTGGTCATTCCGATCCCAAGATTATAGGTATTAATAACACACAGGAAAGAGGGAAAAATTATAGAAGGCAGGGCTATAATAATGACCACTTATATACATGCATATGGTATCTGGAAATTCAAAAGAGGAGAAGCACTTTACGTCTCAAGAACACTCCGTTCTCTTCCTCCTTTCTGACCAGAAGCCACAAATATACTTAAAAATGTAAGTAAACTCCATAATACTTACGTTTCCATTTTGAAAGGAAGGTAATGTGCTGACTGGCCAGCTCACAGGAGCTGGTGGAGTCTCCATAATGTCACACTTTGGGTCTCTTGCAACGATCATCCGAACAGAATTGCCACAGTTTCTCAGCACTTGTGCAACTTGTTCACTGGTCATTCCTTGCACGTTGGTCCCTCCAATCTGTAAGATATGATCTCCTGTCCGCAGCCTCCCATCCTTCAAACACAAATAAAATTGAAAAAAAATCAAAAAATATTTCCAGTCTATATGTAAAATATCCTTTCCATTACAAATCTGAACCTGTGTACAGGCATCTTCATAGCCATGACAGCCAATGCAAGAAAATAGAGTAGAATTGACCCCCATGGCAACACAGTGAATAATTCAAGGAAGCATTTGTACAATCATGCAGTTTTTTCCACAGTAGTTAACAGTGGTAAATCAACCTTTCTAAATCTGGGTAAGATACACAAATTAAATAGCACCGTTGCTAAGAAAGAGTTTACTTTTTTCATTTAAGAAAGACCAGACAGCAACATTTTATTATCCCACAGGTTGTTAGGTATTGCTGTTTCACAGAATATTCCTCATCGGATAGGGGTTAGAATAAAAAGCACAGCATTTTGATTTAGGACTTTTTAGAGTTTTTCCTAATACTTCTATATTGCCTGGCAATTCTTTTCTCATATGACTAGCTCCAACTCAAGCGAGTAAATCCACTGAAGGTAACAAGACTCCACACAAACCGTTTTTTACATGATAATTATGATTCATGACCTACATCATCATTTCTATTATAAGCAAGCATTCATAGGACCAAATCCTCAGCTGGTATTGATCAGCACAGCTCCTCCACCTCAGGTGCATTGATTCATGGAGCAATCATAGCAGAGTTATTCCCAGAACTAACCCTAACTCATTTACAAACTCATCCAATTTTAACATGTATACGCACTCATTATTTCACATGTTCTTAATGATGTCTCATTCAGCTGAGAATGATGTGGCGAGTTCTTAGCTTACATACTTCATTTGTAGCCAAAACACTCTATTCCTTACAGCAAAACAGGTGTTACATAATAATTAAAGAATGCTCATTTAGACATGACAGGTTCAGAGGGAGGCAGTCAAGCAAAAGCCAACATTTTCCAGTAAAGCTCTCCGAATCTCCAGTTTTCATTTTCATCCTATCCTATACTAGAGGAAGTACTTTAGCCTCTCTCTTTTGTATGTTACCAGACCTTGTCTGCACATGTTCCAGAACTCAAATATTGTAACTTGCCATGACCAAATTCACATTAAAGATCAAAATCTGTTTTGCTATTGTACGTGTTCTTTTCATGAAATGTAGCAACACCCAGCACTGAGTCTTTAAAGATTAGCAATGAGAGGTTGTAAACTGTACCTGTGAACTTTAAAAGATATCAGTAACTACAGAAGTCTTTGCATCAGTCCTAAGTGTCTCCTTGAACTGGTCAGACCACAAAGCAGGGATCAAAACCTCTTTAAAGTGAAATCCACTGAAAATAGGACATTTTCAATCTATAAACTGAATCTTGCAATGCAATTGCTTCAATAGGGCAGATTCTCTTGCCTCACAATTGATTTAGAGAGTTTGTCCCTACAGATATTGCGAAATGTGCCAAATTCTACAGAGGATGTTCAAATCCATTATGAGTATCCTCCCCCAGACTTAGCAAAGGCTCAAAATATCAAAAATATTGAAAATATTAGAAGGTTAGGCAACTTCTCAAAATTTCTGCATGTTCAACAATGTTATAAAGGCCAAGGCATGTCTGAGAAACAACTTAATTCGTATCAGGTGCTGACTTTTTCCTCAATCATACCTTCCACATATTTATTTAGAAAGTATATGTTGGCATTTAGACTTTGATGCTATCAGCTTCCTTTTGTTTAAGTGTATTAGTTTATTTTAAGATTGTCAAAACCAGTTAATTCTACTTTACAATCAAACAAGAAGTGACATAATATAACAAATTACCCGATCTGCTAATCCCCCAGGAACAATTGTTCTTACAACTACTCCACTCGACTTTCCTCCTACAATTCCAAAGCCTAATCCTGAACCGTCGTTAATCAGCTCAACGTCTTCAACGTGGCCCCAGTGAATCTGCAATTAATAAAAACAGGAGATTTTAATTTCGGGCAGCCTTTAATGTTTCTCACTTTCACATGTACCAGGAACGACGAGCATTAATCAGAGCGATGTTCTCTCTCTACCCCACATACTGGGGATCTGTTGGATTTTGTTCAGTCAGCTTCATTTCCTTATAAATACGCAATGGGATTTCTCATCTGTTTTTAAACATACATTTTGTCCTTCACTTTCAGGATAACAGGATACTAGGAAAAAGCTTGACTACGAAAAAGCAATTTTAAGATTTTCCTTGCCAAAATGAAAACTATCCTCTTGGTTTTTCATAAATCAAGAATACTGCAAACAAGAGAGAAAAACAGAGGCAAGAAGCTTGCACTGGCCTAGTTTTCACTTAGCGTTGCCCAAATTCTTATTCCTGTTATTTCACTTACACACTTTAAACACCAGCAGTACACGCTGAATTAATAGCGCAGTGCAATATTCTGCCATACTGAATTGGAAGCGCGTTTCTAAGCTACATTGTACCGTGACCTTATGTTCTACAAGACAATCTGAAAATAACAAAGCTGTTAAGCAACCCAAACCCAGCCAATGTTTCTGTCAGATTAATATCTCACAGAAACCAAAATGGAGCAAAGTAGGCAGATTTAAGTCTTCTGTGAATAAAGGATTTATTAGCATATTGAAAATCTTTGCCAAAGCCAGTTAAATATCATAAAAGAAGTTAAAGACCCCCTGTAGAGATATATATTTGTATTTTATTTTGTTAGTCTGTTCAGTGCAGATCTTTCAATGAAAAAGCAGTTAAAGTTTAATTCTTTAAATTTTCAGCGCAATAAACAATATTGATTATCCACTAAAACCTTCAGATTTCACTAGCTCTGTAATAATCATGAGGGAAATAATTACTGACAATAAGGAAAAGCACTGCTCTTAACCAGATTTTCATCAAAACTTACTAGGATAATAAATTAAGATTCCAATATTGAAAACCCTGGATTTAGATGGGCAGTTCAATCAAATTCAGAGAAGCCACCTGGACCATATGGTGTGAACACAGATGGAAGTTCAGCCCTACCTTATTACATGCCCCACTGACAATCTCTCCTTGTTTAAGAAAACAAAAGGGTTCACACATTCAATGAAATTTGCAGATTTAAAAAAAAAAAAAAAGCGCCCTGATAAATAAACAAAGACAAGGCTTTTTGCTTTGAGCAGTTGAAGTTTAAATTGGTTGGGATATTTCAAGCAGTGCTCATGATAGGTTATGTTTACACTCTTTTAAGATGCAATCAGAGCATCTTTAATTGCTGAGCACAAGTAGGTTTCAGCTGAGTATACTCATAAAATGCTTTACCCAGCCTATGCTGAACAGACCCTGCTGCTAAGAATATGTTGATCTACCAAAGCTTCTGCTATCCCGTAAAAACCCAGGATCTATTTTATAACAACTTCATGCAGTTTTGCAATGGAAGCCTTGTACTTACTGCATGATCAGTCTAAATGAAATGTCACCACATATAAAATCTGATTAAAGAAAAAAAAGAAAAATCCCTATATGTAAAGCTTGCTAACACAAACACTTAACAACCACAGAAAAATACCCAGCATTAGTTCAAAATCTGATTTTGACAGTATTACAACAACTCACAGTCTCAGGTGGATTTATATCACTTAATAAGACAGCTGAAGTTCTGCTGTTCCCTTGAACTGGCTCCCTGGCAACAACCAGATGTAGGGATCCTGTGGATTGCTGGAGGAGGGCAATAGCGTGCTGATGGGAAATGTTCTGATCCAATGGGGTGCAATTAATGGCCAGTATGTGGTCATTTTCCTTCAGTCTTTGATCCCTTAACAAAACATTAAAAGAAAGTTGAAAATGCAGCATAGTGACTTCACAACAGGCCTGTGTGATTTAAATATAAACATGCAAAAATACACAGTTACGCAAGGTTAAATATTTCTATATTAAAAAAATCTGCTTATTAGGCTGTCTTCACCAACATACAAAGTACATGCCATCCACACTGTATGAAACTGTCCACCCATATTTTGTTCCAACTTTTTCACAGTAAAGAAATCTGCTCAATTTTTCTCTTTGTTTTTATTCAAAATTCAGTTAAATTCCCCCATTTTTTCTTGATGATATTGAATTACAGGGCAGAAAAAAATAATATTTTGTAGTTCTACAATGAACTAGGAACTATTCTTCATTATGGTTAGCACTACATGATACTGCCTGTAAGTACCCAGCACTCAGGCTAGGATCTTGTTTTGTATCATTATTTAATCTAAAGATTGATGAGCTGCATTTATATTTCACTCAAAATTTAAGGTATCGAGCTTTCTTCGAGCACTACACAGCTCAACTTATATGTTTTACAGTTAATTACCCTAGTGATGAATTTAGATTTGTGACAAGAGAGAAACCATCACTCATCTCCTTTGTTCAATATTCATTCTGAGCATGAGACCAAACTGTTACATAGACAGACACTGCCTTCAAAGCTCTGTAGGAATCCAAAAAAAGTCTCCAGGAGATCTTGTCTCAGAAGCAAAATGGGAAGCATGCTGGGGAAATTTATAAACTCCAAAACAATATAACTGCACATCTTAACTAACACATTTTAAACTTCCTTTTTATCATGCGATGTTTAAGATGTTTCCCAGAAATCACTTTCTTGGAGCACTAACCATATTTTAGATTCTCTCATCAAAGAAAGTGAGCAGCAGGTCATCAAATCCTAAAGTGAGATATTCAGCCTCCTTTGACATCCGGATCAGTCCATCTGTCTCCACTTTGAAAGAGCCTAATATGCTTTTCTTTAAGTGTTCTCTGGTGTGTTCTCTGTGGGCCCATAGCCATTATCATTCCAACCTCTCCCCACTCTTTTTGTCATCCTGCGTTGGCACTTCCTGACATGTGTTATTTAAAAAGTGACACCAGTGACTTGAAATCTAGACACATTTTCTTGAAACATAATTCCAAGCACTGCATTTGTCTCATGCCAACATTTGTGGTTTCACAATCACATTTTATTTTTAAAGGATTGCTCTGTCTTTTGTTTTTGGGTGAAAACCCACAGACAATACGGGAAGAAACTGCCTGAAGCCTTGATTCTATGATGACATCTGTGCAGGGATCTGTCGGGAGGACTGGATCTAAATTTACACAGGAAACAAACAGTAAAACCAACTATAAATAGGGTATTGTCATAGGCACATAAATAAAAAAACAAGGGGGAAAAAAAAATATCTTTCAGGGATACGATGCATAAAAATTCAAATGGAGGCTAATTTTTATTTTCCTTGTATTCTCTTCTGAGTTTTCTTTTGTTTTTTAATCAGTACTCAAGATTCTCTTAAGTGAGTCACGATTTCTGGAAATTCCATTTATGAATGGCTCGGATATTTAAAACTCATCTGAAAATCTGATCCTCAAAACATGAGTCCATTTAGTGGAAAAGCCAAAACTCAAGATACCCCCACCAAAATATCCCACCAGATAACCCAGACAAACATGTTCCTCTGATAGAGTTTTCAATGTGAGAGTCATGACTTCCCTTCATGAAAATACTGCAATTTTCCAATACAATTATAAAGATCTCACCTGTCAGCTATGCTTCCTGGCTGGACTTCCTTGACAAAGATACCAACTTCTCCCAAGCTGTGATTTTTCAGGGCAACCACACTAAATCCAAGACCTCCAACAGAAGGCTTTTCAATCTTTATTGATTCTACTTGTCTCCCCTAATAAAACAGAAAAAAATTGATTTACTAATTTTTAATGCAATAGAATGAGTTAGTTCAAAATTTATGAACGCTGGGAGAATTATTCTCCTCCTAAGACTAAACAAAGGCAAAATACTGAATATGTTATTTCTATAAAAGCTCCTCCATTTATTATTTTTAATATAGCAGAGTATTGGATATGCAAGCACTCTGAGGTTCTGAAACCTCAGGGAATTTAAGAGCTGCTTTCACACTTCATTCACATTATGAGATGAATTCCAAACTGGATGAAAACTATGAACGAAGTGCTGTCTAGAGCAATATATTCGGGATTTCTGGAAATGCTGCACAGCTAAACTAAATTACTTGTCTTCTGGCTCCCCTTGCTTTTAATGCTGATTTTTAGGTGTGCGTTCAAAAGATTGCAGCTTTTAAATAAAGAAATTAATTTCCTTCCCCTCCCTGCAAGTTCACACTTAATGCTACAAAAACAGTTTACTTTTGCAACTGCCTGCTTTTCAGTTGTAATACAAGATTTCTGGGGTTGTTTACTGGGAAATATCACTTAGAGAAGGCACTGCTATCACAGCTGTTTTATCCAAAATAACGTGCAGTCTTTACCGCTAAATCTTTTATCTGATGAGTTAATGACACACTAATGAGAAGAGTTATGCTCAAAATATTACAGCTACATTAAGGTAGTCAATTAGCAACAGTTACTTAATATAGAAAGGCATGACTAACCAATTAAATTAATGGTTCAAAGCAACACAGAACAATACATTTGTGGTATAAATGCCAATCCCACATGGGTGGATGTCTGCACCTGTACAACTTCCATGAGCATCTGGTACATGCTACATCACATGTTAATGAAATCAGCATCTGCCTGGCAAAGTTAAGACATACTAAACGAAGAGTTAAATAAAATATTACATGTCAGTTCTTTTAATCATTTGCACTGTTTGTATATTAACAAAGTTGGTATATTTCCAATTTAAAATGTACTTGATAAAACAAGTCTCTCCATCAAAACAAGTTTCTGCAGAAAACAACCATCTTCAATTAAGTGTCATCAAATACCACAAAAGTTTTCTGGCAACTGAAATTTCTTTTCTACATGGTGTGTTTGGTAGAAAGGAAGGCCAAAAAAAATGGCAAAGGAAAAAAAAAAGCCAAACCACACCACCAAACCACTTTCCAGTGCTGACATTATCTTTCACAAGGAAAAGTTATCCTCAGCACTTCTACTCTCTTTCTGGCCAGGAGGCACCACGCTCCCAGACACACAACAGAAGAGCACGTTTGAAAACGTACTCCAAAAGCCAGCAAGAAAAAGTTCGATATTAAAGGAAGATGAGTTTGGTTCACTAAACCTGAGAGCCTTACCCTTGCCATCTGTTGGATGATTGCATTAAATTCATTAATTCCCAGGTTTGGAGTGAAGGTGGATGCTTTGGGTTCAGGGGAACTGCAAGGTACATACGTGCTCCCAGCAGCTACTGATTTGTCAGCAAACACTAGCAGCCCTCTCTTCGTAAAATCAAAATCTACTGACCGGTCAGGCGGCATATAATTGAGCTGTTAAAAATGAACAAAGAGGTAGAAAAACTATTAAAACCAAAATAGATTTCCACATATTTCATCTTGTCTGAAAACTGCCAGAGCAACAACGTATGTTCATATATGTTCACACATGCTCACACAAATACTCTCACCTGTATAAATAAGGCAGTGTTAAGATATAAGCTACAACCAGGCTACCATATCAAGTTTAAATTGTTTTTCAGAAGAAAAAGTTCACTGAATGTTTCAGCTGTGTTTCTACCCCACTCATTTTCTCCGTTTCTTTCATTCTTCTCCCCTGCCCATGCCCATCATCCTCTTTTCACCCTCATATTCCAGAAACATGCAAAAGCAACAACATTAAAGAAGCACTCAAGCACCGTTGCAACTGCCATGCAAACCTGGACAATTTTGACAGCAGAATCCAAATTTCTTAAGAGTCACGTAGTCACTTGGGAGCCAAAGGCCTGGTCTGTATTATCTCCTCCCCAGAGAAAGCCCAGGGTACAAACTACCTACCATTGAACATGTTACCATTGCTAGAACTTGCAGTTCAATGTCTAGTCCTGACAGACAATGAAGAAATGCAGAAATATTCCCAGTGTGACACAGTAAACTGAAAAATCCCATTCTGAATGAAACTGCTCATGAGGGACATGCTTAAAAGAAACCTCAAGAAAAAACAAAATTTTCTAGGTATGATAATTCTGAAGGTTCTGGATAGAAAATCCATTATGCCACAGTCACAAAGCATGAGCTTAGGTTAGTCCCTGATTTTAAATTTGCACACCTGACTCTGCTAACTGCAGGGTGAGACCTGTTTGACCAGATGTGTCATTGATACCCCATGTCCACAAGGTCGAAGTGTCAGCTGGCGTCAGAAACCAATCCACCCAAGTTCCTTCCACTGCTGGAGCCAACCCATTTTAAAGTTAGCTTGGGTACATCCACATCAGAGCTTGGCAAATCTTCAGGGGTGGTTTTCTAGATTATATTTCCCAAAACAGGTTAACCGTTCTTGAACAAGTCAGCAGGAACTAAGTGATGGTGTCTTTTAAGGAGAAAAGATGCTGCCAGTTAGCTGATAAACAGTATTTAGCTTCTGTGAAAAACAAAGGATCCCAGTTCCAACTGCTGTTCGGAACTTAAAGTACTAGAGCTGATGGCTTTTGCAGATGCTTTTCTCAAACGATGTGGTTCTCAATGCTTGACTCTTCTCCATCCCTGTCAGAGCACGTTGCCCCATGGCCTGTTTGTTGGGATACCACTTCTTATTTCAGTCGTGATGCTGGAGATAGTAGCTTGACCAAAAGAAAACCCCCAAAGTGCAACACTGATTCACACCAAGTTACAGCTTATTAATGAGAGGGCCCTCATTAACACACGCCTACATACCCTGTTTCCAGTTCCAAGTTCACTATAGTTATCATCACACCAACAACTGCAATTTTATACTCACTTGTTCCTTCAGTTGCTTGATGGATTGCTGGAGGGTCAGTATCTGGTTAAACAAAGGGCTCCTGAGTGTGTTACGCAAAACAGTCAGGTTTTCATTATGTTGGGAATCTCTTTTCTCCCGCAGTTTTGCTTGCAGCCGATCGAGGATCTGCAGCACCTGCTGTTTATCTGCACCACAAAATAGCGCACATGTTAGGAACGGAGCTTCATTTCTCACTGCTTAGCAAAAGTAATCACTTTCAGACTACATACCTGCAGCAGGATTTTCAGGCATGTTGAAGGGTATCTTTGGAATTACTCAGAATAACCTAGATGAGGTTTAAAAAAAATAATCAAATTAATAATGTATATATCTGAGCAGAATGCTAACAGATACACAGTCAATAAATCCAATAATAAAATATTAAGCCAACTATAACAATACAAATATACCACTACCCCCTGTTGCTTACCCCACATATTCAACAATGCTCTCAATACAGCTAGTTGCCCTGCAGCATCAGCACATCCAAAAATCTTTCCTGGTTCTATGTACTTTTCCTTTCACACACAGGGAGGACTATGAACTACTCTTACTGCTATGAGCAAAAAAACCAGTTTATAATAACAAACATTGGCCAAGAAAATTGAGAGGCAGCTACGTTCAACCAAATTAATTTAAATTAGAAAGGCCTGCAGTGACAGGATGAGGGGCAATGGCTTCAAGCTGGAGGGGAACAGATTTAGACTGGAGATGAGGAGAGGGTTCTTCACTGTGAGGGTGGTGGAGCACTGGAACAGGTTGCCCAGGGAGGTGGTTGAGGCCCCTTCCCTGGAGATATTCAAGGAGAGGCTCGATGAGGCCCTGGGCAACCTGGTCTAGTTGGGGGTGTCCCTGCTGACTGCGGGGAGGTGGGACTAGATGACCTTTGGAGGTCCCTTCCGGCCTGGGCAATTCTATGATTCTATGAAATGTGGACATTAAAATTGTAATCTTTTCAAATATACATATAGTTAAAATTTTCCTATTATTTGAAAGGTACTTTCCTCTCGATTACTTTAACTATTTGTAGCCTGTATTCTTAGCACGATAGCTCTGCCCTGCCATATGGCAATATAGGTGAAACCCTGCATTTCCCTATAAAACACTGAAGTTCCCTCCATTTGGGAGACACCACGCCATAATGGCCCAAAACTAGCCAAATCAATCCCTAGCCCATGGTGTTCCTCAGGGAGGTTAAGTTCTCCTTGCAGCCCCGGTGTCAAACAGGTGAAAGAAGCTCGTTGCCTTCTCCTGCACGAGCTTGCCTTTCCATGTGCACAACAAGCTTTGAAAGAACAGAATACCCTTTATCACACTCCTCTACACTGCCAAACAGAACCGGCCTCCAACTGGGGCTGAGGGCCTAGATGGCAGTATAAAAACAACAGAGTTGCAATTAGCAGCGATGTTAAATTTGTACCCTTACTTGCATGTTATTACGTTGATGTGGAGCCTGTCACTCTGAAATCTATCAAGGCAGTTACACCAAAACACACAAGAGAAACAAGATTTCTGCGCTTAGTACAAGCTCCTCTGAAAGAAGTCAGCCGCTTAATAGCGCAATTTACATAATTGTAACTCTACACAGTAATTTCAGAATCATATATTCAGAATTATTTTAGAACAAAAATAGCCATATCCATATTTAAAAAAAATCTCTGTATTTACTTTTTTTTTAATCTTGCAATATGAGAGTAGGAAGGGTCATGTGCATTTGAATGCAATACCAGGGTAAGCACAACCCAGGGGCTCTCTCCCAGCAGGACCTCTGAACCTTTCAGCTCTGCCTCTGACACTGCCTGTGTTCACACTGAAAACATCTTGAGTTCTGGGAGGACACTGTTATATTTAATAAAATATTAAGTATTCAGGTGAATAGCTTATCTTCTGAAGAGTCAGATTAAGCTGGATTTACCTAATGAAAAAAAAAAAAGAGAAAGTGGAGGTGTATCATAAACCACAATTTCAGATTTATGCAGCCTTTACTGTATCTGAGCAGCTTTGGCTCCTGGAGGAATTCCGACAGAACTCGGTGGGTTTGTGTGGTTTCCACCCAGGGCCAAGCAAAATGAGCCGCTTTGCAAGGCTATTAACAGATTTAGGAGGTCATTTTAAATCAAAGTCATAGCAAGAGTTGAAGCGGCAAACCCATACAACCCCTGAAAGATTTTCAGGAATGCATCTGAACTTTTGTAAGTGCTGCAGCTTTATTTTCTTTTCCATTCGAAATAAAACACTTCTAAGAACACAGCAGCCTTTGATTCTGTGCTGAGATCTGATTCTGAAGAACAGATGAAAATACCATTTCCTTATACATTCCTGAGTCTTCACCTAAACCAAAGAGACAAAACTTAACCTCCTTGACTAGAAGTATTGCACAGATCTTAACAAAAAAGGACAAAGAATATGGAAATTTGTTCTTTCTTCCCAATTTAACTTCGCTCCATTCACTTCCCTCCTCTATTTTTCTACTTCACACCAGCAGTTAAAAGAGAAAAAAAACACCCAAAGCAACCGAACAAACACCAGAAAGGGATACAAAATAACTCCTATGAGGAAAAGTGGCTTGAAACACCTTCAAACCAGCAGTAGGGTGAAGAAAAGATTAAACAGGAAAGAAATCCAGCATGGCAGGAAGTAATGAGGACTTGACAGCACCATGCCCATCTAATAGCTGCAGCCAGGAGGCCGCTCCAGCTCTCCAGCCCTATTTCTTCCCATTTTGTTCTCCCCTTTCCATCTGTGCTTGCACTCATCCATCCGATCCCACAGCGAGCTGGAACAGAGAGCTAAACAGGCAGAAAAAAACAAAAAACCCTCATGGCATTTTGGTAGGGTGAGCTTTTTGCCCGGTTAGCTCTCAACTGGCAGGCAGGAGGAGGGGGGTGAGAGGTGCCCGGGGAAGCGGGACGGCACCTTGCAGCAGGCAGCAGCTCACAACGGCTGCAGCTCAGCTGCACTGGCAAACTGCACCATGAGAAATGGCCTGCCTCATTCCAAAAACCAGCCTCAAAGTGCCGCCCCGACAGCCTCCGAGATTCATCTTTTTTTTCCATTACAGCGGGTGTAACAATAGCAATTATGACGATGGGTACAGATCCAAGAAAGACAAATTTAAGCAGGAAAAAAAAGTAGGTAAGAGAACCAGGCTCCGTCTAGGCAGAAGTGCCCTGGAGAAGGAGGTGCAAAAGGGGGAGGAGAGGAGAAAAAAAGAAAAAAAAAAAAAAAAAAAAAAGATTAAAGAAAGTTTCAGCTTCCTGCCTGAGCTGCTCCAAAGCGTTGCTAAGAGCCGCTGCAGACCACTCTGCGCCGGTGGAGGCCAACGTGGACCTCAGGTACAGTTCGTATAACCGTTCAAGTTTACACAGCACTTTGGGATTCCTCGTGATCAAAGCTGGCCTCCAGCCAGCCTGCAATGGTTTTTAATGATTTCTTTTTGTGCAAGAAGTTAAAACCACCCTCAGTATTTCTTTGTTCTCCTCTCTTGCATAAAAAGAGAATGGGGGAGAAAAAAAGAAGTCTGTTATATTTTAAAGTAAACAGCTCCTTCTGGTGCAAGGGGATCCCCAAAAATATAAACTAATTTAAAGTTTTCGAGTAACATATAATTGAGGACAGGTGTCTAAGACTGGCTTTTGGGCACCAGAGAAGCACAGAGCTCCGTGTACTATTGAGCTGTTTATGTTTTGGGGCCCAAATATTTTGTCATTAAACAATTTCCAAACACTGATGCTGAGTCCAAGCAAGGCATAAACAGACAGTTGCTAATTTAGGAGGTCCACTCCGACAGGAAAATTCTGAAGGGATACAAAACACTACAGTTTGGAAGTTTGAACACTCTGCATCCAACTTCCTTAGCTCCATTCTCCAATTTGTACAGCCACTGATTTATCTTATTGGTAGACAGAACTGCAAACCCCAGTTCAAAATTTATGTCACAACTCCCAAAATAACTGTAAAATCATTGAGAAAATAATGATTTTCAGGAAGTTTAGTGTTTTCTAGCACCAGAAAAAAAGCCCACACTCCAGCACAGCGTGCATCTGGGTTTTTGCTGTCTTCACTTTTGAGAGCTGAACTCAACTCATCATAGGGAGCGGGAAAGTTTCATAAGGTTTTGTATGAAATCCTAAGACTTGGATCTTCTTCAAAAGCAGACTAAGAAAAAAGGAATTCCCCCATGCTGATGCCAGCAGAGGTCATCAGAAGAGCTGAAAGGTTTAAGTCTTCCACTGCCATCACCCTCCTGCCAGACTTGGACAGAGACACAGGGTGCTCAACCCCGGCACATCCCAGAGCCAGAGGGGAACACGACAGCCCTGGCAGTGGCCTTGACAAACACCTGCCTTCCACAAAGGGCTGCTGAAAGACAAAAACAAGGGGTTTCCTGCTGGGCTCTGGAGGAGAACAGGGTTTAGGAGATTCTTCTGCCCATTTCTCCCCACCTACCTAACAACTACAACCACTTCTGCCCTACATCCTTCAGCTTGGCCTCCAAAAACCTGTGTCCTTCCAGGAGACGCGCCTGCAGGGAAGTCCTGCCTCATGGGAGGACTCTGTGTGGGTTTAACCTTTTGGGACAATAAGCACCAGGAATCCTTAATGCACAGGTGCTAACTGCTGCTATTTTTCAAAGGCTTTCAAACATGGCCAAACCGAGCAGCCTGCAGCAGGAACAGCCAAGGGTACATCCCAATCCAAAGTCACCTTTCTGCACTGATGCGGTTGTGATTTTTCCTGGCTCCATTATCAGGAGTGACTGATATGGTGCATATCGTCTTCCTCATCAGGGAGATCTCTGACTTGGAAAATTTCAGTCCATACAGTTTAAAATTTGATAAAGGCAAAAGAAAAGGAAAACAGCATTTGTGGGTGTGATTTTAATCCTAAATCATCCTAACACAGCATCACCTGTAACTTCCGATATTAAAAATTGTATCGTTTACACGCCATCAAGCAACTAGGTACTGTGAAAAAACACTATTCTAACACATATTTTGCTGCCCTACACGCTATGCTCAGTTTCCAATCCTGGTAACGTACAGAAGAATTCAGTCCAACCAAGCTTAGCATGCACATGCCTTTGAGATGAAACCACCAAAACCTGCTGTTCCGTGTAATGCTGCAGTATTTATAAAAAGTGCTATCGAGCATGTGCTGAGAGCTCCAGGCTCTTGAAAGAAGGAAACAACCAAACACTGCTCTGAGTACCTAAACACAAATACACCACACACGGTAAGGCTGGTCAAAGCTAAATATCATTAAATATATAAAAAAAAAACCTACTC